TTGATTGTATGTTGTTTAACGTCCCATTCGAGAATTCACACTCATATAGAGACGTCACCATATACCGGTGAAGGGCTTCAAATTTTGACCTTTACTCGGCACTCAGGGCTATTGAGCAGTGAGGGATCTTTATCGTGCCAACGCCTGCCGTGACACGGGGCCTCGGTTTTTAAGGTCTCATCCGGAAGACCCGCAACATTCACTTTAAAGTGCCGAGCGCATGACGAAGGAACAGTTGCTTCCCATTTTTTATCGACTAAGGTCAGTCACGGCCGAGATTCGAACTCATGACCTCCCGACCACGGATCGAGCGCTCTACCGACTGAGCTACCGTGAACGGTTTGTTGTTCTTGAGATTTTTAAAGACTTTTCCTCTGAATTTCTATGTCAAACTTTGATCAGCCATTGTGGTCCCACCCAACCCCCGGGGGTCATGAATTGAACAAAAGTGAATCTATACCTACCCGAGGATGCTTCCATATAAATATGACCAATCATGGCTTTGCTGTTGAGAAGAAGATTCTTAAAGGTTTTCCCTGTATATTTATATGTAAAACTTTGATCGCCCATTGTAGCTCCATCCTACCCCCAGGGGTCATGATTTGAAGAAACTTGAATCTACATTACCTGAGGATGCTTCCATATAAATATGACCAATCATGGCGTTGCCGTTCTTGAGAAGAAGACTTTTAAAGATATTCCCTATGCATTCCTATGTAAAACTTTGACCCCCCATTGTAGTCCCACCCTATCTCCGGGATCATGATTTAAACAAATTTGAATCTACACTACGTCACAATGATTCCACATAAATTTCATACACAATGGTTCTTGAGAAGATTTTTAAACGATGCCGTTAATTTTTCACAGAATCATAATTTTCTCCCCTTAGAAAAAGGCGTGGCTCTTCATTTGAACAAATATGAATTCCCTTTACCCAATGATACCTTGTGGCAAGTTTAGTTGAAATTGGCCCAGTGGTTCTTGAGATGATGAAAATGTGAAGACGACAACGACGACGACAACGGACAAATTTCGATCAGAAAAGCTCACTTGAGGGCGGGGGCTATGAATTTCACAATTTTAAGAGGCGCCCTTGCTCATTATCACAATGTATCTAGTTTTTCTGCTAAATACAGAGGGGGTGGGGTGGGGTTGGAGAGGGGGGTGGGTGGGACAAGAAGCTTTTTAAAGAATTTCTGCATTTTCAATAGATGATCAGTAGAGCCCCATCCTATCTCCAAATCCTTGACCCCGGGGCCATGGATTTAACAATTTTGGCAGAGGACTCAATGCTATAACCAAACCACTAGTTTGACTGCTTGATGATCACGAGTTACATGAAGGAAGATTATTTTGATATTCATTAATTTTGATGGTTTTAGCCCCATCCCGTGCAGCGTCCATAAAGTTTAAAATCTCTGCTCCCCTTCACCTTTACATGCTTTATGCCGAAATTAGATGAATTTGGTTCAGCAATTCCAAAGAACACATAAAAATGTTCATATGCTAACTCACGACACACAAGCACGACAACAGACAAAAAAGATAGCACTAAATACCTAAGTGACTCAGGTGACCTAAAAAAAACCAAATATATAATTCCATCTGTTGACACTTTAGTTTTAATTCAAATTCCAAATTTGTATGTTATTATATATCTTAAGTTAAACAACAAATAATATGAATTTAAAATTGTCAATCTAATTAAAATCAGGGATCCGATAGAGGATCCGAAAGATTTATAAAAAAAAATTAGATTGATAATTTGTTGACTTGAAATAATCAAATTATAATTGAATTCTAAACACGTATTTGAATTTGTATTAAAGTCACAACTGTATATGTAGAAAACAATTACAAAACACTTAAAAGTTGAGCGTTATTAAAGGTACAGTAGAACAATGTGTTACAACAGCTTTTATCGGGGTGAAATATTACTCTTATAACGTACTGGTTGTTGTTGAATGCGAAGATGTTTTATTAAAGAAACAGTACGGCGCATTTCATAAAAAAAAGGACGATAAAATTTTCTGAGAGGATTTGGAATTTTTTTACCACTCATAAATGTATAAGGGATGATTCTCTATAAGGTCATGTGACCATAGAGAAGCCCTTAACCATGGCATTAATTTTTTTTATAAGACAGAACTACTGTTCTTGTAGTGAATAATGCTACCAAAGATGTGCGTCACTTCCTGAAATCCAAATAGATTCAGTCCTCTCAACGCCCAGGTAACACAAAATACTTGGATCCTATGTCACCTATACGGAAAAACATGAGGGCCTTCTGAAAGGCTGAGGCGAGAATTCCCATTATGAAACCATTCAATCAGTAATTCCCTATCTATAAAAGTTACATGTATACCAATAGAAAAATAAGTTAATAACACAAATAGCAAATATATCTCCCCACTACAATTATTTATTAATAAATAAACAAAAAAAAAAAATATAATAAATAACTTATATTCACATCCTAGTATGTAAAAAGTATTTTTTTATTTCTAGCGGACAGTTCAATGAGATTTGTCTTCACGTGTAATTTCATAACATCCAGTCTTTCCAGTCCTTTCATTTTAGATTTTTTGGTAAAAACTTGGCATTGTTCGAGTAAAGATGCATGGCTTATTTTATTTTTGTTTATTCAACAGAAAAGTGTGCTCTAATTGAAAGTTTACAATATGAAATAATCTACAAAGGCTGATAGATTTCATTTTTATTTATCAGATTCCTCTGCAAATATCGTAAAAATGAAAAGAAATGTTTTTATTTACATGTTATAAACATCTTTAACCAAGTTCATAATTTGGTAGTCACTTTTTATGTTTACAAGAAGTTTAAATGTAAATTTTGGTGTTGGTTAAATGTGGTTATGACATGTGTAAGAGTTGCCTAACACACCGACCCTCTTGAGTTTTCCCATTATCCTAATGCTAATACGGACCAACAAAGTAATAATACATTGCCTTGTGACCTTATAACAATTACTATACCAATCAACATTCATCATTAAATTGGATCATTGACTTACCGATTCATGCAGTTTTAAAGGAAAAATACTATCTGCCTTATAGAGAATGGTCCTTTCAGAAAATTACAAGTTTCATAACTAAATAACTTTGATTATTTCATTAAAATTAATTATTTATGGACCATAAATATATACATCGCAGTACAGTTAAGGTGCCAAATGGAAATATCGGCGAATTGTTTAGATAGAAAATACATTCTTTACAAGGATGGGCGTTTCTTTTTAGGATTTTACCATTATCGGACAAATGAAATGTGGTTGAAAACTACATGTTGAGGACGATTAGATTTCTTATTTAGACTTGTCACATGATGTGGCAGTCACGTGATTTTAGCAAATATACCTGAAGTATTGAGGTCATCTATAAATTCTAATATTGCAAGGGCATAACAAAGTTAAAAATCTAAGTTTAACATATAATTATTTTCAACACTCTTTGTAGTTTGTGAAAAGTGCTGCGAACCTATATAAATTCCACTATCTAATTGCTAAAATTACATTTGTTAGACCGTATGTTGAATATTTTGCTGGTCAAGTACATTAAAAATTAATTCATTTGCAAGATTTCAACAGGTTCGCAGCACTTTTCAAATATCTTCATACTTCTTGAGTTTATGTGTAAAAGCTTGTCATAATTCATTGAGGGTATGCCCTTGCAATATATCGATTTGTTACGACCCTTCTATTACCCTTCAATGAATCTGCATACAAATATACGACAGTATCGCTTGTTTAGGGAATGTACGGGAAGTATATGAATAAAATCATAAAATAGACATCGCATCCAAGTTACTGGCCTCTTATATATCTACAATTTATATTTTATTTAATTACAAAATACATTTTTCATTGTATAAATATAACTTGATCCGCCTCTCACTGCATGCAAACTGCGTCAAATTTTACGATATGACGTCACATTGACAAGTGCATTGCGATCAGTGAATTGCTGATATATATTGCTGTGTGGGATTTAACCAACGACAAAAATGCATGCACTAGTTAGTATTGATGTAGTTTAAAGCTATTCAACAGTTTCAAATAGCAAATCATTTCATTTTGTGGTAATCTGAAGAACTTGTATTTTTGTGTGATGTCATAGTAAGCATTTCCCGTATAAATTAGGCCCGCCTCCTTACTGCAGCCTTAACTGTGCTGCGATCGCAACGTGTTAGGGGTTCCACTTTCCATGCTATTCACGCATGCGTACCTATCATAAACAAGACAGCATGGTAAAAGTGGGTAGCCAGATAGGCCTGCTACCTTGACAAAGTCGACCAGAGAAAAAAAAAACTGAAAATAAAGCTTGAAAAAGCGAATTTCCTGACCAAATTTTACTTGTGGGATTAATATAATCGTTGGTGGAGGAAGAAACAGGAGCTCGGCGAGACTCTCGAAAGGCTCGCAAAGGTCCTCCTCGACAGGTTTGTTGAAGTATTGAGGTCATCTATAAATTCTAATATTGCAAGGGCATAACCAAGTTAAAAACTAAGACTGCTGCGGTTTGTACGACCCTTTGATTTCCGGCAGATTCTAATTACGTTAATTTTGTTTGAGGAGAGAATATTCAAGTTTCTCAAACTCATTTCTCATATCTCCATCGCTTTCAAGGAAAAAAGCAGTGTAAACTCAACACCTATCATATATATATATTATTGCCATTTAAAGTGCAAATTTTAATGTAACTGTCCTGAGAATATTTTTGCCACGATGACGCATGATTTGGTGATTTTCCCTTCTCGAACCCCAATAGACAAAACGTAATTTTTTGTACTTTTAATTCTTTAAAATTAGTCTGAAAGCAGAATAAAAAGTTCACGGTTAATAATTTATCGGAAAAGTTATAATATTTTGCTTTTGAGAATTGTTTTTTCCTCATTTTCTATTATAAGTGTAACCTAACCAGTTTCAGCACGTGCCATTCAGAATTCACGTGGTACAAATTAACAAGATCTAAGACTGCTGCGGTTTGTACGACCCTTTGATTTCCGGCAGATTCTAATTACGTTAATTTTGTTTGAGGAGAGAATATTCAAGTTTCTCAAACTGTTGACATCAATTTTATACCTTATTTCTTAATGATACATGTATATTGGGTAAATTTGACTGAAAAACACACGTTTTGCAGCCTTACAGTCGCTTTAATATTGAAAAAAAAAATTTAAAAACATAACAAAACAGAAGTTATCAATTCTCCGTTTTCGAAAATTATTTACCCCTACATAGTAGTACATGTACCCCTACATAAAAAATACACCATGTCATAAGTTTGCAAAAAAGCAAAAATATAATATAGAGTTAAAAATCTTTCTGATTTAAAGAATTAATATATCTATGCCACTTTCAACGCCTTTAAAAAAAATCGACAATAGATGATTAACCTTTTGAAGCATAACCCATTTTAGCCCAATACACGTAATTTCTGACATATCCCAAATATAGTCGTTAAATACATGCAGATAGAGTTTCGTAATATAATTCCTACTGTAAATTACTAGTGAATCATGGATAAATAGCATATTTTTTTAAATACAGTTTTTATAAAAACATTCGTCTTTATAGTCACCAGGGTACACTTGTAAGCATTTTAGAGCTTTTACTTATTGGTCTCTTTTATGCGTATTTCTATCGAAATTTACTTTGTTCTTAGATTACTAGCCTAATGGAGTTTCAGCATCAGTGATTAGAATTTCTCGGATCGGAATTTTGTTATATGCCTTTAATGTAACAGGGTCCTGCAGATGGATAAAAATCAAGACTTCCTCTTAAATGTTTGTTTGGGCCGATTAGTAATATGTAAATCCCGCCAATTCATCCTCATTTATTATTCACTTTAAGTTAACACTTGATCGTCATTTTCAGGTTTCAACCAATATTCCGCATGTTTCACACCTTCAGTGTCTAGATTTATACTTGAATATGTGGTACACTTCTGCTGCACGTCTGAGTGAGTATCACCTTTCTTCGTCTCTGAAATGGCACATTTAGGGTTTGAAACTTTAGCATTCCATCTACCTCTAAAAATACTATGTGTCATATAAATGTGCTTTTCCCAGTAAGGCAATGAGTACCCACATTTCATTTCTTCATGAATTCTTTCAACTACCAATTCATATTTTTTCAGTTCAAAAGCATTTCCTGGATAAGCATCCAATAGTCCTGTTTTTTCCGCAATGTATTTTATTGTCAACTCAGTTGACAGCTTACAGCGCTTTATAAGATACTCAATGTTCACATTTTCAATGAAAAAATCTTCATCTTCACAAGCGTATACCAAAAAGCTATCAAGAAGGGAGTCATGGTAAAGCATGTACATATCTGAATTCTCCACTTGATAAAGAAATCCAGATATACGAACATTCTCTTTCATCATGGTTTCAATTTGGTTTTTCATTATTTTTTGCATACTGAACTTCTTGCACACATTTGTATATATCTTTCCTTTGGTATGGCTATAGAAATCATCTAAGGATATCCTCCCACCACATAAAGCAGCAAAAAGAACAATGCAAAAGCTTTTCTTGTCTTCTTCTTCGTTAGATTCCATCCATTTTTTCACATGTATTTTCAAGGTTGTTTTAAATGTATCAGATATTATATGACTATGATTTTTTAAGAAATATCTATTGGCACACATCAAGTCAATAACAACAGGCACTGAAAAAGCTGGATCTGCTTTTAGACCAGATGCAATTTTCCTGATTGTGTTTTCACAAATAATTGTTGCATTGCTTGGGTTCAGGTTCTCCTCACTCTTTTTTACTGTTATACTAACATGACTGATTCCTAGATGACCTCTCAACATACGCTCTTTTTTTCTTTTCATTTCTTTTGGTGTGAGGTCCTTCTCCATTAAATCCACCAATACATTACTGCCAAACAGTTCTGGATGTAAATCTTTCATGAGAAACTTCACCCATGTTTGTTTTTGAACAGTAAATATTATACGGACTAAACCTGGCTTTATGAATTTATTAAAGATTTCATCAAACTCTTTCTTATCCTCTGATAGTTTTGATGGATAGTATCTATACTGTTCCAAAAAATCATCTAATATAACATAAGGCTTTTCTGATTCAATTTCCAATGAGTGCACATCATTCAAACATTTGCAAAAATGAAAAGTAACAATTTTTCCTGAAGACTCTTTCTGTCTATGCTTTCTTATTGCAAGTTTAATGGCAGTCATAGTTTTACCAGATCCTGGGGGGCCTATGAGTGTCATACATCCATGTATCTCCAGTTTACCAACTGCCTCCTTATATGCCTCTGTATCAACAAACAGACCTGCTTCAAGATACTTTACAAGTCTGTAAAATTCTGAAAAATAAGGTATCAGATGAATGGTATCTAATTCCTTATCTGAACTGATACTAGTACATATTATTGTCAAATTGTATATAGAACTCAAATTTTTTAAAGGCATGAACACCAGGTAATATACTTAACTTAGTTATATTAGATATTTGAAACAGCATGTTACAAACATGTAAGTACATAATATAGCAACAAAATATATGAATGTATTTTGTATTTCTAAAGAAACGTATTTAACTATAACTATTTATACCATATCCGATTTCACTTTTGTTTAACATTGGTATTTCTTCATCCTTTTGAGATGCGCTTCTTCCTGAAATTATATTATGTCCACAACATTACCTAACACATTCTTTATAATTTATTAAATAAAGTCTTATCAAAGAACATAAAACGCTGTATTTTACTCTTTAATTTATCCTGCATGTGAATTTTTTGAGTTTTTTTAAACAATTCAACTTAATTACTTACCACAGCCCTTTCTTCTCCACAGGAAACAGATGACAGCACAAACCAGTAGAAGTACAATAGCAACTACTACAGGTATCATTATAACAGGTAACGAATCTGATTTTAACTGTGGACCTTCTGGTAAAGTACTAGTCCTTTCACTAAAATAACAAAGAGCTTACACTGGTCTTTCACTGATGAAAAGTGATATTTTACATGTTTTAAATACCCATTAAATAAAATTTTAGTGAAATATACTTCCCAGTGCATGTACCTCCTTCAAAGCGTAATACTTTGAATGTTAAAGGTGAAATTGGTGTTCTATGTTTTACAAAATTAATATTATGTATCATGTATTCATAACATTTTATTCTGTGTTATTATATAATATGTAAATCCAAGGGGATAAAGGTGTGCTGTAGTCATTACATAGAATAACAGAGCATTATGGAGAACCAGCATAATTAAACAAAAATCTGTACTGTCCTGTATGCAGCCATTCTACGTACGTTCTGTGCTGTTTGAAAGACGCAGACTCGTTTGTTTTGTAAAATAATGTAGATGTGCCATTTAGTTTGAACCTGTTAAATGTATGTGTTTGTATGTGTGAATGAAGTGGTACTGCAGTGGGAAATTAGATGGGGAAAGCTTGCTGAAGTGATGACATTAAAATATTTTGGAATGGCTAACTATTAAATTTATTTAAGTAGCCGTAAAAATTTTGAAGAAAGTCCCTTTTTTCAAAATTATAAATTTCCCGATACATGTACCCTGGTAAAAAAGTGGAATCTTTAATCTTGTGTGACTTTTCATGCTTAAGATTTAATTTTTTTTTCCTCTGAGTTAATCATTTATCTGGTTTTTTTCTCTCTCTGTAAATATTATTGCTATTTTAAATGTAAATAAACTATATTTGCGACAACTTGACTGAGAGCCACACCTGTGGCTATTGGTTTTAGTGATTGGGGAAGCATGCACTCAGACTACATAATCATTTAGATAATTGGGCCGTGACAAGAAAATATAAGATGAAGGTTTTAAAACTTGTTGGGATTTCTCTCATGTAAATAAAAGTTGGTTTACAATAATCCATGTTCATTTTGAAATCAGTTTTCAGATGTATATGGAAGGGCAGCTGAGAGAAGTTTAAAACAATATCATAGATACATATTACATGTAATAGCAAATTTTTGCTTTGCAAAAATATTTTATAACATTATTACGTTAATATCAAAATCATGTTAATACTTCTACTCTACGGAATATATCTTATAATATCTTATAATTTTCTTTAAAAATGTAATGGAAAAGTATATAAAAGAATTCAGGAAACCTTTTAGAAACAAAGAAGATACGTACATGACTGACGATTTGTTTAAACATCCTGGATCTGAAAAATAAAATATTAACTTCTTAAGTAATGCTTAACAGTGGTACATCCATGCTTTAAGTGCTAAATTTAATATCCAGGACCAAAATTATTGCAAGAAATGTTTAAGAAACATACATACCTCCCCCCCCCCCCCCCCCCGTCTGTAATGTGACAACGCTGCGTGACAATGATGCGAAATTTAAACCATAACGTATCTCTGCTTAGCCCAAAGTTTTTCCATTCAAACTCTGGGTCAGTATTATGAGATAAAAGCACACGACTGGAAACAGAGACTCTCGTTTTCTACACTTTACTATGGACAATCTTTACACAAAATTCAACATTGCTGGGAATTGTTGTGAATGTGAAATTCTAAAAGCCACAAAAGTTGCTTGCAATACGTAACAAGCATTCTGAGAGTATTGCATTAGCAATACTAGTCCCCTACCGGCAAGTGTAATCTGGTTCCCGTTAAGAATTGAAAATGCCATAAATCCGTCAAAAATCAATGAAGCGGGACGAAATGCAAACTTGACCTATAACTAATCAAGGTAAAGTGACTTACCAAAAATCAGCTCAATATCTGAAAGCGTTTAGAAGAAAATTGCGGAAAACCCCTAAAAATTGAAAAGACCGTAATTCCGTCAAAAATCAATGAAGCGGAACGAAATGCAAACTTGATCTGTAACTCATCAAGATACACTCACATACCAAAAATCAGCTCACTATCTGCAAGCGTTTAGGGAAAAAAAGCGGAAAACCAAGTGGGACAGACTGACAGACAGACAGAGGGACAGACAGACAGACAGACGGACGGACAGACTCAGAGGAAACCTATAGTCCCCTCCGGTTTCACCGGTAGGGGACTAATAACACTACATGCTATTGTATATTTGTTGATTCGACATTTATAAAATATGATCCTTTAATATTGACATTTTTGGTTGACATTTTTGGTTGATATTTTTTTTTTTTTTTTTTTTCGATGAGCAGTATACAGTATTTTCAGTATTTTCAAGGCTGTTATACAGTATTTGGGTTTGAAACATCAAAATATTCACAATTTCTTAATCATTTATCCCAAACACAAAGGTGTGACTTTTCCTTTTAAACCCTCACTGTAGCTTAGTCAATAGAGCATTCACTCTATGAATGTCATGGGTTCAAGCCTTGGTCACAGCTCTTGCTAAAACCAAGAAAGTCCATTAAAAACAAGAGACCCATGGGCCACATCGCATTGAATCTACACTACCTATCAAAGGACGCTTCTTTTATAAGACTTATCAGGGCTTTCTTGTTCTTGAGCAGATTTTTTCAAGATGATTCCTATATAATTTGACCCTCTTTTGTGCCCCAACCCCTGGAGGGTCATAATTTGAACAAACTCAATTCTAATACCTAAGGCTTAAATACCTTAAATATCCATCACCTATATAATACTTTGATATTAATTCAAAGCATTTTACAGTAGAAAAGGATTTACCAAGAGAAAGTTTCAAAAAGCAGTAATTAATTAACAGAAATTGCATTGAAGTTTATGGAGACGAGCGATTTTTTTAAAAATAAACATTCTAATAATTCTAATAATAAGAATATCAATAAATACTGTGGTGAAAAGATGCATTAAATCAATAGAAATAGAATGACATTTGAAAACAATTTTTCACGAAATCCTAAGGTTTTCCATCCCTAATAGGACCTAATTCTCTATCCTTTAATATCCATCACGTATATAATACTCTGATATTAATTCAAAGCATATTACAGTAGAAAAGGATTTACCAAGAGAAAGTTTCAAAAATGTAATCAACTAAGCAGTAATTTATTAACAAAAATTGCATTGAAGTTTATGGAGACAAGCAATTTTTAAAAAAAAATAAAAATTCTAATAATAAGAATATCAATAAAACTGTGGTAGAAAGATGAGTTAAATAACTGGGAATAGAATGACAATTGAAAACAATTTTTTATCGTATAAATTTTTTGAAATTAATTTTTATTACTTAAGAAAACGAGGGAGATAACTCTTCAACAAAGATCAAGGTCATAAATTAGGACACGTTCCATTCTCACATACTAATAGTAATGAATGGGGATTATGTCTAAATATACTGAGTATTCCACCCGTACACATCTGTTATATGCATTCAAATTTATTGAATCTGGGGTTATTAGGGATGGAATACCTTAATCATCTCCCCTTGAAAGAAAGCGTGGCACTTCCTGTGAGCAAACTTAAATCCCCTTTTCCCAATGGTGTTTTATGGCAAGTTTGGTTGAAATCTACCTAGTGGAATCGACAATATTAAATGTATACAGACGATATACGACATACGATAGAGTACGCTTGTCAGAAACATTGGACATTCTTTGATTAGAAAAGCTCACATGAGCCTTCGGCTCAGGTGAGCTAAAAATGGTAGTATTTATTCCCTAGCGCTCGACACTTTGAGGAAAAAGCTACGGGCCTTTTGGATAGGACCTTAAAAACCCACGCTAAAGAGTGCCGAGCAAAGGCCTTTCCTGGCATTTCGTCATCATGACCTACTTTTGAGTCAACATGACATGAGGTCCTTAGACGCATCAACTGACGATATTTGATAATCTTAATGCTTATAGTGGAGAAAGCATCAAAGTTTTAAAAAAATAATTTAAGATCAAGTTAAGGTCAACTTTAAAGTGACCTTGAGACCTCGCTTTTGCCCCAGGATGATTCCTTGGATAATTTTTAATCTACAATATATCCTAATCCTTATGCATAAGTTTGGTGATAATCTGCCCTGTGCTTTCTGAGAAGATTTTTTAAGCAACCACTACTTTTGTTTTTATTTCCCTAGTAATTATCTCACATCCTCATTTTTAGTGTAAAAATGAGAGCCCTTGGACCAAGGATACTCTGTGACAACTTTGACAAAAATTGGTCAAAGGTTCTTGCGATATGGCTCATATTCCAAATAATGAACGTACACCGCATAAATGGCCATAGCAGTAACTCTTTTAGCCTTTCTCTCAGAAGAGCCAATAAAAGTATGATCCTTGCTTTAGTCTCTTTTTGAGGCAAGTTTAATTGTAGTTTACATAAAGGTTACTCCTACTATTAGTGGAGTGGATAGTTGAAAAAATAGTTCACTTGGTGAGACAAGTACCAAATTTGGCTGAGGGTTCCTTGTCTAGAACCTGAAGAGGGAATATCGTTGGCTATTCAAGTTTCGGCCATTTTCAAAATGGCCGCCATCATTTTCAAATAGCGCTTTTTCTTATATTGCATATTTAGCACTTTCTTTTTTTTTTCTCTAAAATTATAAAAATCTTTGAACAATTCAATCAAATTTAGTCCAGCATACGATTAAAGTGTTAATACACGTATATGCGCTTAAGTACAGGTTGTTGCTGTTTTAAATTACTCATAAGACCTAATCCTCAAAGCAGTGAAAGCAGTAAAAGAGCAGAAAAAGGTAATTCTCTCCTGAAATATTTAAGTTTTTCTTGGCATGAGGCTGTCATTGGCTCCAAAAATGTCCCGTGTGGGACCCTAATTCCACTTTTTCATATACATGTATTACATTAAAAGTAAAGATACAGTTTGCAACTTTCATACCGGCTGCCATCTTACATGCTTTGCTTCCACGACAGATCGTTGATATGTGTTTATAAAGAGCAACTCCTCAGAGGAGAAATGCTATCAAGAGAACCCTGTCTCGGGTAAAGACGTCAAGAAAGACGGATTTCATGGTGGTGCTGAATATTCTAATTTTGGCGTTCTCCGACATTGCTGTAGACATCAATGCAGATCTTAGCATTCCATTGCTTACTTTAGCTTAAATGTTTATGTCAGTTGCCCTGTTTTGTTTATGATACTGCCAAGGTAAAAATATTGATTGACCTCTTCTATATCATCTTGAATGTTGCATTTCCTCCACTCTTGGTCAGGTCTCTCATTTTTCCTGGTATAGATTCTTAGCTTCGTTTTTCCATGCTTATTTGTTGCGTCATGTCTCTCCTGCCTATTAGAGCGTGAGATAAAAGTGGAAGGTTTTTCTGCAAAGTCTAGGTCGTATATTCTCTAACCGAAGGGGGGATTTTTCTTGTAAAGGGTTGTCTTGTTACCCTGGCCGACAGCTATCCAGAATAGTTTTGAAGATAGAGGATAACCTTGTTTAACTTCAGTTTTTACAATGATTGTCATAGTTCTTTTATGAGTTATTTGTACATTTGACTTCGTACAGTGTCTTTTTCATGTTGTTGATCCTAGCTGGGATTCAAGAATGTCTTAATAGTTTCTCTAAAACTCTGTTTATTGGTGATATCAATCGCTTTTTTTCAAAATCGTTGGTGTAAAGTGATTATTGTCATCTGCATTCTGCATATTGCTCTATAATGCTCCATAAAAATATGTGGTACAGCTTTTTGGTCTGTGCAGATTCTGATCAATCTGTTGTCGATGTCCAGATTCTGATCAATCTGTTGTATCTAAATAATTTTGCAATTTCTTCTTTTATTAAATTCCAAATAAAACTTTTTAGAATCTTAAACAGGCAGAAGATCTTGCTTGGTCCAAAAAGCAATATGAGACCTCTACATTTTTTTGAAGAGATTAGGACCCCCCTTCTTTGGTATATATATATTAGTCCCTTCTTTCACCAACTGGGGATTCTGTCTGCTTTTCATTGTTTGTTTAACAGTTTATAGATGTATTCCTCTTTTTCTTGTCTCATAGTCCACAATGCCTCAGTTAGAATTTGACAAATTCCTGCTGTTTTTCCATATTGAAAGATTTAACACTAGTAGCTGTTGTCACTTCCTTCTCGCTTTTTCCACCTCACCTTTTTTATGCATTCAGATCTTCCCAAAGGTGAACTGTATTATTCCTCTAGAGTTAAGTCTATTTAGCACTTCTTCAATGTGTTTTTCCCATCTATTTAGTTCTTTCTCTAGTTCTAACATTTTTATTTTTGACCGGTTTGCTATACCAAATTGTCTCTTTCTCAGAGTTTTTGTGATTTCATGTGATGTTACATGTGTCTTTAAATCTCCTCTTTGGGCTGCCAGTTCAGCTTTCTAAACAAACTTATTTATAAAGTCTCTTTGTCTTGCCTGAAGTTATGATCAACTTCTTTGTCTAGCTCCTGATATTTAGTTTGGAGCTAACGTCATTGCAATCTTGTTTTGCATCCTCAAGCTTTAATTGCTTTTTACTTTTTTTTAGTGACATCAATTCTTTCATTTCATTTAATATATTTTTTTTGTTAGAATTTCAACACTTTCCCTCACTTTTGTTTTTGAAAATGTCTTTGCATGTATCTCATTCATTTATCGAGGTCTTCTGTGGTATCTTGACTTTAAATTTGATTCTTAAGTTGGATTTGAAAGTTTTCTTTGATGTGTGTCTTTCAGTTTTTCAATATTGAACAATGCGCTTATATTCCCTATTTCTGAGTTTGCTTGTCTTATTTTCCGTTTGCTAGTAGTAGATGGTGGTATGTGTTTACGTTTGCTCCTCATTTTACTCTTACATAACTGAGGTTCGAGCTTTTCATCTCTGATTTATTATGTCAAGATCAGTCTGGTATTTAAATCCATCTTGCGACTCTCATGCTTCTTTTAAGATATTTATATGCGGGAATATGGAGCCTCCAAGAAGAATTTATTTCACGAAATTCAGCCAGAAGTTCTTCTGCATTCACGTCACCAGATGCATTATGCAGATATACCCTGCCTTCCCATTGCCTTCTCTCTGTAACTGTTGTCCTGACAATATTTGCATTCATGTCACACTTTGTTTTAATGTGTCGTATTGGAATTTCTTCCCACCATCGTAATGCCCGCAACTCCTGTTTGATTTACAATTTAGGAACGATATATTCCGGAATTGAAATTGCCTTATGAAATGTCATTTTCAATCAACAACTTATGCACAGAATAACTTGTGTACCAAGTCTTATTGAAATTGGGCCAAAACTTTGGGATGAGTAGCATTATGAAAGAATTTCAAAGAAAATTATATTCTGGGTAATCATGGCAGTACTGTGTGGAAATCAAAGAATTGTGTATCTTAGTATAATCTACTTGTGAACCAAGACTACTGAAATTGGACCAAAACTATAGGAGGCGTAGCGTTTTGAAAGAATTTATAAGAAATTTCAATTTTTAGTAACCATGGCAACATCGTTTGCGAAACCAGAAACTATTATACAGAATTATATATCGTAGTTTAGTCTACTTGTGCGTCAAGTCTTCTTGAAACTTGACAAAAACTGTAGGATGAATATCATTTTGAAAGAATTTCAAATAAATTTCTATTTTAGTCATCATGGCAACACCAGTTGTCGAAATCAAAATTCTGATATTAAAAAAGTATGTATCTTAGTAAACTCTACTTGTGTACCAAGTCAAATGAAATTGGACCAAAACCGTAGGAGTAGCATTTTGAAAAATTTTCTACGAAATTTCAATTTTTAGTAACCAGGGCAACATCGTATGCGAAACCAGAAAGCAATATAGAGAATTATGTTTCTTTGTTATAAGTCTACTTTAGTGTTCCAAGTCTTATTGAAATTGGGCCAAAACTGTAGAATAAGTTGCATTTGAAAGAATTTCAAAAAAATTCTGTTTTTAGAATCATGGCACACTGTTTGTCGAGATCAAAAACCGCGATAATAAGAATTATGTATCTTACCGGTAGTATAGTTTAAGTGTGTACCAAGTCTAATTGAAATTAGACCAAAACTGTAGGAGGAGTAGCGTTCAGAAAAAAAATTGATATGTTTACAGAAAGAAAGACAATTAATTAGACAACGGACGCCTTACCAATGTAAGAACTCTTCTGGTCTCCCATTAACCCCAAGGGTGAAAATAAAAATACCAAAACTTTATTGTACACCCACAGGACACCATCAATCACCTCCCAAAAGATGATTTGGCTATTGCATAAAATGTAAGAGGAGTTCTGGGAAACTACATGTATGTTTAAGTAGAAAAAAATGTTGCTTTTTGACTCCTATTTGGACCCAACAGCGAAAATGACAATGCCAGAATCTTATTGCAAATCTACAAGACACCATCTATCATATTATAAAAGATGAATTGGTTATTGCTTAAACTATAGAAGGAGTTTGAGGAAGAAGAAAGTGTGACAGACCAGGATATAAACAATTTACTCGAGCATAAAAAGTCAGTTCAATACGTTAAATTTGCGATCTTTAAAACTCGTTATAAAAGATGTTTATTTCGTATTTCTATGTATAACTTCTACAGGACACAAAATCATATTCTTAAATCCGTAAATTCGTATTATCTGAGCTGCTTACAGCCATAAAATTTTACAGGGAATTGTTAAGAATTTTGCAGGGAATCCCACAAAAGCTCGCTTTATCATCTCTGTTCATATTGTACATTCATTAATATACAAGGAAGCCTTGATTTGACTTTTCTGGTCGGTCCGACTCTTGAAAAGATTTCTGCAATGACAATCAGTTCACTCCTTTATTACTTTATTTATTAGTCCCCTACCGGTGAAACCGGAGGAGACTATAGGTTTCCTCTGCGTCTGTCCGTCCATCTGTCTGTCTGTCCGTATAGCTGTCCCTCTGTCTGTCCCACTTGGTTTTTCGCTCTTTTTTTCCCCTAAACGGTTGCAGATATTGAGCTGATTTTTGGTATGTGAGTGTATCTTGATGAATTACAGATCAAGTTTGCATTTCGTTTTGCTTCATTGATTTTTGACGGAATTACAACCTTTTTAATCTTTAAGGGTTTTACGCAATTTCTTTTCTAAACGCTTGCAGAGATTGAGCTGATTATTGATATGTGACTTAACGATACATACCACAAACAAATTTTCTTATCTTAAATTCCGCATAAAAGAGTTACACTCACATATTTTCCGGAATTCGTAGTGTTTTGTGTACATTGGTTCCTATTTTATAAAACCGGAAAGTGTAGTTAATGTAAATATGTGCAGAACGAAGTCCGGGAGATTTACTAGTAAATCCAAATATAAGCGTTCAAGAAAGAAAAAAAGAAGCAAGGTATCACAATAATCAATTTTGACGAAAATAATCATATTTGTTCGGACAGCATGCAGACTTTAGAGGGGACAATTGTATTTTGACCTTGTTCAATAAATTTCTTTTTTCTGTGTAAATGATTTTTTCTTGTTTTAATTAGTGTGGAAAGGGTACCCAATAACTTGCTTCTTTAAAAGTAGTACTATTGTAAAGACTCAATAAAAATATCAACATTTTTTAGGATTCTTTATACACTTTTTACATCAATTTTTATCATTTTTTTCCAATATTGACTACATTTGAAAGCCAATAAGAAAATTTTGTTTGTCTTCAATAAAATATTTGACCCAGGAGAATGTTCTTCATAACTTTATAATTACAAATTGTTCATAAAGATTGAAGAGAATATATTGGAAACTTTTTAAAAAAAATAATGAACCATAAACATATATTTTCCCACAAATTTTGGTGAATTGTTCAATCATAAAGTTGTAAGATGGTCAGATATTTTTTCTTTAGTGAGAAAGGCTTCTGAACACATAAAGATAATTCAGTTTCTAAGAAAAAGTTTGTATGTGTTATTTATCCTTAACCTTGATCATAAATCAAGTTTGCATTTCGTCCCAATTTTTGACAGAATTATGGCATTTTCAATTTTTAATGGGAACCAGATTACACTTGGACTAGTAATGCTAATGCAATACATGTACTCAGGATGCTTGTTAATTTCTTTTATCTTTCCTGTTAACATGGCATGCTCCCTAATTTGAACAAAGTTAAATTTCCTTTATACGAAACAAGTACGTTTTGTGTCATATTTCATTGATATTGGACCAGTTGTTCTCCAGAAGATGTGGAAATTATCATAGATAAAATTTTGATCACGAAATCTCATTTGAGCCTCTGGCTCAGAAGAGATTAAAAAAGAGCAATGTGGTCTTTCCTTAAAAATTGCAGACATTCATTTAATTTCTCTTGAGGTTTTAAATAAGCCTGAAATGGTGTACTTACACAGATAGACCTTATTAGATCTGTAATCCGTGTCTGAGCATGCTCCATACTGAAGGTCACAGGGTATGAGGTCAATGTCACTGGCTGCCGTGTTGAAAATGGGACAGTAATCTATATAGGGTAAATATAAACACTGATTGTACAAAAATAAATAATATTGGGTATTTTAATTACAGATATATCATATTCATCCACCCGACTCAAATTTTTTTAACCTATTGAAAGTATTTTTTTTTTTTACAAGCGTATCAATTTTCCGTTTTTATCCGCCCATTTTTTCCCTGATGTCTGAATTAAAGAGACGCTTGATTTTCTCAATCTGCAACTACTAAAAGCATTTTGATGATCGCGACACACCTGTGTTTAAAAATGGCGACGACAAGTCCGCGGGAAACATATCTATGATTATTGTCATTGACACGCATGTTTACTATGAAGCTAGAGGGAATTTAGGTCAAAAAAGTCGATTAGGCTTAAAACTTTGCCACGTTTTCAAGAGAAAGAGATTAAGAGTTTAGTCGTCATGCATTTTTTGATCACTAAACACGTCAAAAATCATTGAGGTAAAAAGTGTTATATTTTCCATCCGATGTAGTTTTTCACTGCGACAGTTCTCAAAATCTCAGTTGGAATCAACAAGGGGTCCTATTTTCCAGCTAGAAATGTAAATAATGCAATACACTCGGTAAATGACCACAGATGTTTAGGACAAGATACGTAATTTTTTTTGTCTTTTAACTGTTCAACTTCAAGACCTATATATACATGTACCTACGTATTACGTAAATGCCATACTGAACAGTTCTAGTAATGGATCAGGATGAAAATGATGTTCAAAGGTAAAACAAAAAATCTCTTACTTTTTAATGTGTTTTTAATTGTCCGAAACACAAACATTTGTTGTTGTTATTATAAAGTACATGTATCACTTTCTTTTATTTATGTATATAAAAAATCAAAAGAAAGGTAAAGAAAATCCACTGTACTAAATGAATTTTAAAAAACAATCATAAATGTTTTAAAAATAAATGTCCAGACCCTTCTATAAAAAAAAAATCTTTGATATGCAGCACATTTATATATATATATATATTTAAACTGTTAAATAGGAATTTTATAACATAATTTATATATCAATTCACATTAAAACAGTTTTTAAAAGTATGTCAAATACTGAATTGGAGAAAAATGTAGAGAAAGAGAGCAGAGGCCATGAAATATTAGATGCAGCAGGATGAACTGAAAAATGCAAATACACCTATGATTGCAGTAATTATAAAATTTAATTTTAAAACCTCATGATTTGATCTTAATATCAGAATTAAAAACAAATGAGACATAAGGTTATGGTGGACTCCTGATGATTGCAGAGATAGGTCATATTAAGCACTTAAACCATCAAGATGACGTGCTTTAAAATCTGACAAAATTTTCTTGGCAAATTGCAGTGTACAAGCAATTGTCCAAATGATTCAGTAAGAATATGTGATTTTCATAAGTTTAAGAAACCTGGGTGCATCAAATAATGGTGTTAAAATTACAACACCTAAAATTAAATCATTCCCCACATTTGTCTACCAAAAAAAAAAAAAAAAAAAAAAAAAAAACTTACCTACCTACTCACATCTAAAATGGTGAGTAGCGTTACCGCAAAAAAAAAAAAAAAAAAAAAAAAAAAAAAATTTTAAGGATGGCCTTATTTAAAACAGTATCCAAAACACCTACCAGAACTTTGCAAATATACTCCATACAGGCTTTTCACTTAGTAGACTTATAGCTTTGAAACGCTTAAGAAAGTTGTGAAATTGTGAGACTGTGATGTCATTGTCTAAGACTGTGTAAATATGTTATGTTCTATGATCAATTAATTCAAAATGAATACACTCGGAAGGTTATGGGATAGTAAGATAATAACAAGAAACCCAAGGTCCTTAATGGTCACTTGAGTGAAGTACAGCCCTGAAAAGAATCCATAGAATGGCAATTCGATAAGTGTAGAATAAAACAAACTGATGGATATGCTGCCCAAGAGAAAAAGGACACAACAACACGTAAAGTAAACCTATTTACTTGTCTGTATATGTCTGTGTTATCTACACATATTTCACTATCGCAAAACTAAACAACACAAAACAAGAGGTCAATGGGCCATAACGCTCACCTGAGTCACTGATGGCCCTGCTGTTTTTCATCAGCAGATTTCTACCTATGTTTTCCTTTGTAAAACTGTGATCTTCTTTTGTAGCCCCACTATAGCCTTGATGGCCATGATTTGAACAAATCTGAATCTACACTCCCAAAGGATCTTCAGTATAAATACATGTATGACTAATCATGGCTTGCTGTTCTCGAGATGATTTTTTAACCGTTTTCCCTATATATTCCTATGTACAATCTGATAACCCATTACAGCCCCTCCCTACCCAGGGGGTGATGATTGAAAAACTAAATCTACACTACCTGAGGATGTTTCAATCTAAATATGACTTTGACTTTGCTGTTCTTGAGAAGTTCTTTAATGAGTTTCCTACTTATTTTCATGTAAAAGTTTGATCACCTATTGTGGCCCTAATCAACCCCATGATTTGAATAAACTACACAACCTGATAATGCTTCCGTACACTTCATGAAAATATGCTTATATGCAAGTATGTGTGATTTACATACCAATAATTCACACAAAACAAAAAATCTTTCTATTTACATTTTACATGTTTAAAAGCAGCAAAAATACTTTGATGGTTTGAATTTCTTCCTGCTCTCTATTGTTACATTTTTATTAAGACCGCGGACCATTAACTGGCAAAATTGGAAATATGCAGCTTACGTCATTTCCATCTGTCGCAGTCAAATACTTGATGAAATACAATGAAATGGGCGGGTACAATTTGACACGGACGTCTGCGAATCGAAAACATTGGATTGAAATTGCAATTCGAAATTCATTTTCAATCCACCTAAGCTATTTTTCGCAAAGTTATAATGTATGATCGATAAAACAAATAATTTCAGTTCCCAAATGCGTATAGTTTGATATTAATGTATAACCATTATCTATTTTGAGGACAAACAAAAGTTATAGAAGATATAGCTATACATGTATGTATATTCTTTTACGGGAAGACCATTTGATTCTAGAAGTTGGGGAAGGGGGGGGGGTGGCAAAATTTGTCGAATCAGATTATTTATGGTTATGTCTCACATGAAAGAATATATTAAATATTTGAAGGATGATAAAAGACATTATTTATTTTCTTCTTCACTAAAAAAAATTTGAAATTCAATTTCAATCCATCTGAGCTGTTTTCAAACCTTAAGTGTGAATGTATGATACAAAAGACAAATAAATTCAATTCCCAAATAGATATTGTTTGAAATTCATATTAATATGAGTTTTTTTAGCCTACAATTTTAAGGACACGTCAAAGTCCCAGAATGCAGAGATTATTTTTTCAGGGGACGGCCATTTGATTGTAGAAAGGGGGGGGGGTGTCAAAAATTGTCGAGAGAGATCATGCCTTCACGTGAAGAATATATTAATTTCTAGGATGACAAGAGCTTTTATTTTTTAGTTTTTTCTTCTCTGAAAAATGTTGACAAACAAAAACAGGGAGGGGTTGTCCAAACTAAAATAAAACGTTCTTATTCATTTCCAAGATCGTTCAGCCCCCCCCCCCCCCCAACACAAACATACCAAACAGAAATCAAATATTTGTCCCTTTCTATTTCTTTAGAAACATGGGATAGAAAATTCTGATTAATATATATTTCAAATTATTTTTCTTCTGTGTCAATCAGTAACACCGTGCGTTCTATCGTAGCTGAGGTGGATTGAAAATGAATTTCGAAATGCAATTTCAATCCAATGTTTTTTGCAGACGTTCGTGCCGAATTGTACCTGCCCATTTCATTGTCTATCATTAAATGTTTTGACTGTAACAGATGAAAATGACGTAAGCTGCATATTTCCAATTTTGCCAGTTAATGTTCCGCGGTCTTAACATCTTTGTAACCTCATTTTGACTTCACTTTAGCCTGAGTTTCTCTGTGTATATTTTTACACATGAGTGTACAAGAAAATGCCATTCGAATCAAGTTTATAGTAAACTCAGCATATGTTAATATATATACATATGACTTATCATGGTTTTGCTGTTCTTAAGAATTTTTAAAAATATTTTTCCTAAGAGAAGTTCTTTAAAGATTTTTATGCCACCGTAATCGAAAATTCAAGGGTATATACTTTTTGCCCTGTCCATCCGTCTGTCTGTCTATTTGTCCGCAAAAACTTTAACATTGTTCATAACTTTTGATTGGTTGGAGCTATGGCTTTCATATTTCAGATGTGTATCCCTTGTGACAAGTTCTTTCTTTGGATAACAACACTTTTGACCTCTTGACCTTGGAGTTTGACCCACTTTCGCAAAAATTAACCAACTTTTACTTTGGCCATAACTTTTGAACAGTTAGTGCTAGGGCTTTCATATTTCACGTGTACATTCACCATGGCAAGACCTTTCCATGGGTGTAAATACTTTTGACCTTGACCTTATAGTTTGACCCACTTTTAAAAAAAAAATTTAACCTTGGCCATAACTTTTGAACAGTTAGAACAAGGGCTTTCAAATTTCACAAGTATATTCCTTGTGTCAAGACCTTCCTTCGAATACCAACAATTTTGACCTTGACCTTGGAGTTTGACCTACTTTTGAAAAACTTTCACCATTACTATAAGTTTGGAATAGTTGGTACTAGGACTTTTATATTTTGCATGTGTATTTCTTATTACAAGGTCTTCCCCTGCATATCATTAATTTTGACCCTTTGACCTTGACCTTGGAGTTTGACTCACTTTAAGAAACATTATCTTTGACCGTAACTTTTGAATGGTTGGTGCTTGGGCTTTCATATTCTCCAAGTATATCCAGGTATATCCATTGACACAAGTCATTTCTTTGGGCAACAACATTTTTGATCTCTTTACCTTGAAGTATGACTTGCATTTGAGAAATTTCAGCTTTCACCATAAGCTGCCATAAGGGGGCATCAGTATTTCACAAACACATCTTGTTTCCTATATATTCCTTCCTAAAATTGTGATTGGTCATTCA